GCAAGAGTTTGACCGTCTACTTCAGTTGGTGGGAGGAGGAGACGGAACAGGCGGAGGCGGAGGGAGAGGGGGAAGGGGAGAAAGGGATGGGTCCTCGTCCCCTTGATGGGGACTCCATCGATGGAGGCTCGGTGGATTCCGGGCCTTCGTCGAGCGTTGGAGGCGGTCGAACCAGATTGATGGATACCGAAGGTAAGAACGTTTCCTTCCCTTTCCCCCCACCTCCCACTTGCCAGCAAACCACCTTTTCGATCGTTCGGTCTGACAAAAAAAAAAAAAGTTCCGATCTTGGGACGGTTTCCGACCTCTTCCCATCAACCGGGTTTTTTTCCCCCCCAATATGTTCCAGCGGCAAGGAAGAGACACTTTCAACTCCGACACCAGATCGACAAAACCAGTGGTCTCATCCCTTTGGAGAACCACGTCTCTCTTGGGTGAGTTTCTTTTGGGGGGGGAGGGAAGGTGCTTTGAGAGAAGGAAAGAGTGTAAAAGGGGGTGTTTCGTTCAACCCCCGTCCCCGACAAGGTGCTCACCTTCCCTAACCCCCATCGATTCCCGTTTCTCCCTTCCTCGTCCATCCCCTTTCCCCAACAACCCCCCTCAAGACCGATCCAAGCGGGGACGTCGGAGATGGCGAGGATCCGTCTGTTCTGCCTTTCCAAAGGTCTTCACGAGGTCCCTCCTCTTTCGATGACGTTGGTCGATCCTTGGGACGGTCACGTCTTACAGGAGAAGATTCTCAGGGGTGTAGGTCAGGTCTACGTCGTCGAATGAATGGGGGGGGGGGGGGGGGGGGGCTGTCACACGCACACTCTTTCACGAAGAAAACATCCGAGTTCGCCCCCAAAGGTGTGATCCTTCAGAAAAGTTTCCCTCCCCTTGAGCGAGAGTGGGAAATGGGTTTGACCCTTAACCCCCCCCTCTTGACGCTTGGGGATTCATCATTTCTCCCAGAATCGATTCGACAAGTACATCATGAGGAGGGAAGGTGAAGGAGTTGAAAGGGGGGGAAATAACGAAAAAGGAGAGCCTCGTCGTCCCTCACTTGGAGTGGGAAGACTTTTTCATCCTCCTCTTCTTCTCCGATTTCGGCATCTTGTTCTTCCTCCTCTCCCTGGCCTCTTCCTTGACCTCCTTCTTCCTCTCCTGTGGGAATCGCGGGGGGATTGAAAGGAAACCAGAGAAACGGATCAGTCACTCCCCCCCCCCCCACCCAGATGGATCGGCCCCTTCCTTTCCCTTCTGCTTGGGAGAAACTCACCTTCTTGGCCTCCCTATCCTCGTGACGATGTCCTCTCGGAACCTTTTCGACCCAACCTTCGGGTTTTGGATCCCCGTCCTCTCCACCACCCTCCTCTTCCTCTTGGTCTTCCTCCTCTTCTCCTTCGTCGTCTTCCCCTTCCTGGTCCTCTTCGTCGTGACCGTTCGACTCGCTCGCTTTGACACGTGGGACGTTCGCTTTGCCTCCACCTGGGTTCCCTTCTTCCTCCACCTCCTCCTCCTTGACAGTGTCCTTGTGGACCACGTCCATACCGGTGATGCCAGCGTAGATGAGACTCTTGATGCCTCCTTTCCGAACGATCTCGACGTCCCTTTCCGGATCGTAGACCTCGTTCAGCGTCCTTGGGATGTAACTGCTCTTGAAGACGGCCTCATCTTCCTCCTCCTCCTCTACCGCTTCGCCACCGTTCGAGGATCTTCCCTCCCCTTGATTCGAAGAACCGTCTTTCCGCTCGTTCGACCCTTGCCCCCCCCTGTCCTTCCTCGCACCGGATTCGGCCACCTCCTTCATCAGGTGCTCCAGAGACTCGATCAACTCCTCCTCAGTCTCCCCTTGGGCCCTGACGTAACCCGAACCGTCCTGGGCCGTCGAGGAGGAGGAGGTGTCGATGTGTCCCTGTTCGACGACCATCGATCCGGCGTCGACGTGATTCACCTCCTCGTACTCCTCGGCTTCCGACTTTTCCAATCCAGCCCTTCCACCTTTCCTCTTGGAAGGGGTGGAGGGTTCCCTGACGACGAATTCAAAAGTCCTCCTCAGTCCCAACGTCTGCACTCCCCTCTTCTCGAAGTAGGAGTCGACGTGCGAAAGGTCGGCCCTGAGGAAGTCGAACGCTCTCGGGTGGTCGTGCTCCACGGATTGCGAGACGTCGATGATCCAGAGCCTGCCTTCGTGATACCTGTCGTCGCGCAAAGGGGTGGGGGGTTCGCGAATCGCCGGAAGCGAAAATATTAAGCAGGTGAGGAAGAGGGGCTCGCTTGAGAAAGGGGAAGCCCCGAATGGAGTCGAGGCGTTTCTCTTCCTCTTCCCAACTTCACCACTCACAAAATGTTGTACTCGCTCAGATCGGCGTGAACCAGCCTGCACTCGTGGTACATGGATCTGACCGAGGCCAGGAGCTCGCGGTAGAGTTGGGGCCACTGGTGATCTTGGATCAAGGGATCGGCGTCCTTCAACCTCGGCGAGGCCCAGCCATCCTTGTCTCCGAGGAAGTCCATCACCAGGACGTGATCCCTCAGCTCGATGGGTCTGGGAGCCCGAAGGCCGGCGAGGACCAACCTCTTCAGATTCCTGGCCTCCTTCTCCGCCCACAGCCTGACCATCTTCCTTGGGTTGTGCCTGCTGTAGCCGTGTTGGAACCTGTGTTCTCCCGTGATGTAACGATCTCGATCCTTGAAGACGAGGATGCTGGTCTTGTAGATCTTGATGGCCTTGTGACCTGATTCCGTGCCCGGTGGAGAACCCTCTGGTGGAGGCGAGGTGGCGTGGTAGACGTTGGCCTCCTTTCCCGTGCTGATGCAGCCGTTGATCGTCTCTAGCAGACCCCTGTTGATCATCTTGTAGAGGATGACCAAGGTTCTAGGATCCAAGACCCCCTCCACCGTCGCTCGATCCGCCTTGTCCTTGACCCTCACCGCGTCCCTGCCACCGGCCGCCTTCCTTGGGACGGTACCGTCGATGCTGCCACCGATGGCCTGCGAAGGGTCGTAGAAATCATTGATCCTGATCCTGGATGCGTACTTTGATAAGACTGCCAGTTGAGCATCCGTCTTGTTGGCGTGGGAGGCGATCACGCTGGATGTTTGAGCACCACCTCCGACCGGACTCGTCATCGTCCTGTTGTTCGTATCCGATCCGGACTTTTCGTTGGCCGAGGCTTTCACCTTGAATCTCCTTGGCCTGTTCATCGCAGGTAGAATCCCCTGTACACCGCTCGGACCTGCTTCGGCGTTCTTGCTCGGCATGACGATCGAAGCCAGTTGTCTCGACCTGTTGAATTGCTTTGTGAAATCTTTCGCCATTCGAGGGGACCAAGCCGGTGGGAGGGAAGGGGAAGTAGTGGGAGGGTAGGTTAGGCTTCAAGCGTTTTCCTTGGAAGAGGGATGAACGACGCCGCTGTTCTCCCCCCTTGCCACTTTCCTCCGATTGAAACTCACCACCTCTAGCCAGTTCCCAATCAGCATCCTCCACAGCACCGATAGCATCGTCCTGGTCCTCTTCCTCTTCCTCTTCCTCGTACTGATCCCCTCCCTCTCCCTCGTCGCTACTTTCATCCGCGTCGCTGTTCAGGATCTCATCGTTGATGGGAACGACGGGCTCGAACCTTGACGTTGTGACGTCCGAGGTGGTCGGAAGGGTTTCATCGGCAGCGTCGTCGAATTGCCCCACTTCTTCAGGGTTTTCGGTACCCATGGTTTGTTCGATCTCTTGGTTGAAGAGCCTTCTCCTTCCCTTCCCTTTCTTGAGAGGATTCCCTTGGGTGGCTTGCAGAGATCCTTTCTCCTTGGTTCTGGTTCCCCCCTTTCCTGGGACGAGCTATGTAGATGGGGCAGGTATGATACGAGGAAAGATGGGACCTCTTGGATGAGGTGAATGTATGCGGGCGATGGATGGAGTTACGGGACCAAGTTGTTAGCGTTGGCGGAGGAGGACTTTGTTGGTTACCGGCAGATGTTCCACAAACGGAGAAGAAGAAGAAGAAAGTTGAGAAAAATCAGAACAAACCAAAAAAAAAAAAAAAGAAGATGCAGTTATAATAGCGAAAAATCAAAGAAATAAGGCTACGCGTCACGTGAAGAGATTCTTCTCATCATCCCGAGTCCCGACTAAGAAGTGGGTACAGCTTGGAACGGAAGCAAACGACGCCGATGTATGGATAAGCAACTTGTCGGTTCGGTCAGAATATATACAGGCCGTAAGGTTTTTATTTTGAAGAAGAGGGAAAGCAAATGAAGCAAAAAAAAATATATATAAAAAAGGTTACGTTGCCCTGAACCTGGGTCGAACAGGTGACCTTGCGAACTTCAGTCGCACGCTCGTACCAACTGAGCTATCAGGGCTCGTTGATTTCCAGGACAAAAGCGTATATGAACGACCCGATCATTTTAGTCCAAGTGTAAATGTTCATAGCCCTCAAGAAGTGTCGGATAGCAACCACACCAGGGATCCCATGTTGTCGTCACGATGAGATTGGTATCCCACTTTCCCTCCCCTCTCATCCTGTTCGCGTCCTTTCTCCTTCCCTTACTTGGCTCGATTCCTGGGTCAGGAACTTCGGGAAGGGATTTTCTTCAGGTCCTCTCCTCTATCTTTGTTCAGGTGAAAAACTAAAAATCTAGAGCCTGCTCTCGGTCCATCTATCTACCTTCTTCCAGCTCGCAAACCCACCTCCAATCCGATCTTCCGAACGCTTCGCCGGTGGGGCAGAAGAAGCGGGGTTGCTGATGGACGCTGGACCCTTGGAGTGGAAGTTTTGGGGTCTTCTCCTCTTGGATGGGGGAGGCTCGTTTCTGTCATCGCGATCGGTTGGAGTGACGAGACGATTCCCACTGAAGGTTAGAAGGTGGCTTTTCTTTTCTTTCTGGCCATCGTTCGGACCGCTTTCAGAGTTGAAGGAGGGAGGAGGATGGGAGGGGTTGGGATTGCCAAGAAAATGGGATGGTTTCTAGGATCTTTGACCGATGGGGTATATAATGTTAGAATTTTGTGAGGTAGACATGCCCTGATAGCTCAGTTGGTACGAGCGTGCGACTGAAGTTCGCAAGGTCACCTGTTCGACCCAGGTTCAGGGCAGACGATTATTTTTTTTAAATTTATTTACTTTACTTTTACTTTTGACGACTTCAGCTTCCCAGTCCAACCGATTCCAAACCTCAGCAGTTCCTCCCACGCCTACCCCCCCCCACTCGAAGCTCCATCTTTCCCCCGTCGTTGATCCGATCCTGGTCCTCTGTCTGGTAAATGCGCCCACTCGCCCAACCCATCTCCTCAACTTCTGCCCACTTTTTGGAGAGGAAGGGGTGCCAACCCGTGCCCCACGAAAAAGACGCACCTTCACACCCCAACACAGACACACGCACACAAACAAAGACACAAAACGACCAGGCCCTTCAAAGACGAGGGCGAGAAGGGACCGTGAGAGGAGGGGAAAAAAAGGTGTGGAGGGGGGAGGGGGGGGGATGCTTTTGGAACACAAGCTGTACGAATTCCTATCTTCTTCTGCTTGAGTGAAGAACGAGGTGGAACGAATGGGGAGAATGGGGGATTCCTCAATCAAGAAAGTGACTCTATCATTTCTTCTTCCTCACCCCCCGCCACCCCTCACCCCTCCTTGGCCTCGCTAATAGTTTTTTTTATGACTTCCCCCGCCCTCTTCTGCCTCGACCTTCCCCTATTTCTCTCTCCTCTCTCTCTCTCCACCGCTAACCAAAGGGTAGGGAAATTGGGAAAAAAGGGATCAGGCAGAGGCCTCCTCTTTCTTGTTCTTGTTCTTCTTCTTGGTCTGTCGGACCGAGGTGGCGAGGAGCGCCTTGGTCTTCTCGTCCTTGACCTCCTTGTCCGACTTTACAAGCTCGGCGTTGTACCAGCTCGGGGCCGGGGTGAGCCTGATGGCCCCCTTGGAGTTGACGGCGACGGTGAAGAAGACCTGGGCGGTGACGGCGTCCGGCTTGGCGTCGACGAGGACGTGGAAGGGTGTCAGGAGGCCGTGGTTGGCGCATTCCTGGACTCCCATCCTGGCTCTCTTCTCGTCCTCGAGCGCCCGGATGTTGAAGGGGAAGGCGCCGGCCTTCTTCTGGATCTCGGAGAAGACCTTCCTCGAGGTGGCCATCTTGAGCAGGTAGGTCGAGTTGGTCTTCTTGTAGATCGTGGTTCTCGACTCCTCCGACTTGGTCTTTCCGTCGGCGCTGGTGGTGACGCTGACGTCGACGCCGTAGACCTCGTTCTCCTCGAGCTTGCAGGCGTCCGGCCTGGATCCTGGGTCGGCGTTGAGGACGATCTTCTTCTTCCCGTCGATCTCGTCCTTGCCCATCTGGTTGGATTGCATGCCCTCGACGGCGCTGCATCCGAACTCCTTGATCACCGCCTCGACCTCCTTGGAGATGTCGTGGTTGAGCGCGCCTGGCTTCATGAGTCGGATGGCGACCTCGGCGGCGGTGTGAGCTGCCTTGATGGCATCGGCGGCCTTACCGGTGACCGGCGAAGCGGCGGAGGCACCGACGACGACCGTCTCGGCAGCGATCGAGGCGAGGCCGTCGATCTGGGCACCGAGCTGGATCTTGACGACGTCGTTCGCCTTCAAAGCGGTCTTGGAGGCATCGTCGGATGGGGATGGGGCAAAGTTGCAGATCACGTTGTTGACCGAGATGGTGGTTGGGAAAGCGGATCCTGTAGGGTTTCGAGAATGATGCACGGAGGAAAGAGGGCCAAGCGTGCGTCCGGTTTAGAGAGGGTGGAGACCTGAGCCACGCACGCCAGCCCCTGATCCGACTCGATCAGAGTATCCTTCTTCATCGCTGTTCGCCCTCCTCCTTTTCCAGCTTAGAATCTCTTCCTCTCGCCTGGATACGATGCGCTTATCAAAGCTTCCGCCTCTAGGACTTGACAAGCATACATGTTGCCAGACGACCCTCTACCCCCCCATCACCGCCCCTTGTACAAGTTTTTGGAAATCCCGGCCAGACAACCCACTTTCCACACCCCCCACGCCCAATCTCCTTCCCTCTGCAGCGTAAAAGAGAGACTCACCCTTTGGAAGCTTCTTGTCCTTGTAAACGGCGGCGGCGCCCTCCTCGACAGCCTTGTCACCGGCCTGGCAAAGCTCCAAGACGGTCTTTCCCTCCTGGCAAAGTGCGATGACGACCTTGATGGCCTTGGCGGCGATCTCTCCAGCCGTCTTGTACTGTTGTTGCCGAGGTGTTCGAAAGATCCGGATCGAAAGACGAGTTCAGCCTTCCTCTTCCACCTCCTCCCTTTTTGTTTTACTCTGTCCTCTGCCATCCAAGCTCAAAAGAGAACCCCCGGAGAAGTAAGAAGGATTCTTGCTTATCCAGCGAAACAATCACCACCACCCGATGACATTCACCTCCTTCGGATGTTCAGAGAAGAAGGAAAGGGAAGGGAAAGAAGGAAAAGAAAACTCACCTTTGTCAAGGTGACGTCGGCAAAGTTCTCCTCCTTTGGTTGCTCGGCTGCCGACATTTTTTCTCCTGTTTGCGCGTTGGTGGGATGTGTGATGAGAGTTTAGGTGTGTAGAATCGTTGCTCTTGCAAGTATTTTTTTTGTTTGTTTTCAACCTCCCCTTGGTTCAGGTGAAAGCGGGTTGGGAAGAGCAAGAGTGGGTGGAGTTGGTGAGGGGAGAGGAGGATGAAAGCAAGGGAAAGGGAGCGTGACCCGAGACCAAGGTGGAGAACGAAAGTGACGATGCCTCTCTTTCCTTCCTCCTTTTTTTTCACTTTCTTTTCTCTCCTCTTCCCTCTTCCCTTTCCCTTTTTTATTTTATTTTTTTATTGATTATTTATTTTGATCCTGTCTGGCTTGACCAGGTTGGGTAGAGGGGACGAGGAGGAGGAGGAGGAGGAGGGGGGGGAGAGGTAGCGGGCAGCCAGCCAGCTTGGCTTCCTTCCTTCCTTCTCCTCTTCCTATTCGTTTCCCAGTCAGCAGGGAAGGGTGAGATTCGCAGGTCAATACATCTTCACACTCATGCTGCTAGGTCACTAGAGTGTTTCAATTCGACCCCTTCCTTCCCTTCCTTCCGCCTGACTCTGCCCTGCATCGCCTTTCACCTCCTCCCCTAGCACCCATCCCTCCCCCTTCCCCTCGCCCAACGTTGAACGACCTTTCCTTCACAGCTTGGCGCTCACCCCCCATGCTCTCTGACACGTCCACCTTCCTTCTCCAACTCGTATTCGTCCCTTTTCACTCCTCCTCCTCCCTTTCCATTCCGTTCCAAGACGAAGGAGGCAAAGGGAAGGAAGAGGAAGTAGTTTGAAAAAAAAAGTCCAATCTTAAACGCCCCCCCCCAAAGGTGACAAGGGGAGAGTAGGAATGGCAAGCCGAAAGAAACGGTGGGTGATCGACTCGATTTTCAAGTTCCACTAGTAGCTCCTTCTTTCATCCGCATGCGAAGGTCTTCCCAAAGCGGCATACGCATTGTCACGGAAAGTGGGAAGGAAAAAAAAAAAAAAAAAAAAAGAAAGAGGAAGAAATAAAAGAAAAAAGAAGAAAAAAGTCGGATCATGTGATCGCGGATCCTTTCACAATTGGATTGGAAGAGATGACGAGCCCGAATCGACTCGACTGGAATCACTGCGACTCCCAACGGAGGTTCGATCACTCATGGAAAGAGGCAGATCGAGTGGCTGGAAAGGAAGAAGGACCAAAAAAATGTTACAACGCTGCTCCCTACTAGGCTCGAACTAGTGACCTTCCGTTGTAGGGGTGATCTGATGGACTCATCAGGCACTGTCATATTAGACGGATGCGATAAACCAACTACGCTAAGGAAGCAAGCAAGGGTCGTGATCGAAGGTCGAAAAATTGCCTTCATAACCCCCCTAATGCTTCCTTCTCCAAATCCAACCCCTCGTCTTGCCCCACAAAATGTTGACGCAACCTTCTTCTTCCCTGACTTGATGGAAGAGGCGAAGCACCTCAGTGCAGGTGACAAATCGCTTCTGTGGAGACCCTTCCAAGAATCAGATGCGACCTTCTCGGGCTCGGGCTTGGGTGATGAAGGTCAAAAAAAAAAAAAAAAAATTAAAAAAAAATTGAGAACGAAACTCTTCTTCGCTAGTTGGAGGGAGAGTTGGAGAAATCATCGACCTTCGCAACGATCCCAATTCCAAAACAATACCGGCACTTGGCGAATAGTGGCGAGAGGGAGACTTCTCGAGCGGAAAGGGGAGATGAATTGGTAAGCTGAAAAGTTGGTAAGAAAGAACGAGCAAAAAAAGAACTTGCTCCCTACTAGGCTCGAACTAGTGACCTTCCGTTTGTGGTATGGACCAGGATGATACCCGGGCACGTCTATTAGACGGATGCGATAAACCAACTACGCTAAGGAAGCAACTTTCTTGCAATGTGCCTAGAGCTTACAATATATAAATCAGGAGGTCGTTTATCCAAACCCCATTTTGAAAGCAAGCGCACCTCTCCACCCATCCTCATTGTAAACCCCCCACTCTCCAAGCAGACCGGTTCAAGACAGCGTGTGGAAGCATTGTCAGATCACGAAATCCTAAGTATGTAGCCTACCTCCCTCCACTGTCCCAATCCCACGAGTCGAGTGAAATGCAAGATACAGCTTTTTTTTGAGGAACTCTGTCAATCCAGGGTAGATCTTGAAGAACGTGCGAGAATTCAAAGAAGTAAAAGGGTGGGGGATGGGTTGTGTGGATAGACGTGTTGGAACGTGAGATCATGTAAAGGCGGTAAGGTTACGACTGCAGATCAAAACCGGGATTAGGTGAAGTAGAAGGAAAGGGTTTTGGAGATGGAGGTTCGTAATCAAGAAGATTTAGATGAGGTTTTTTTTTTTTTTTTTTTTTTTTTTTGAAAAATGGATTGGGTTGAGAGGCTCAGGATGGAAGGTGGTGGTGGTCGCTTTTCAGACGATAACAAGGAAGGCCAAAGGGGGACCAAGACTTTGCACAGGTGAATCCAGAAACGGAGGACATGGTGAGAACGACAGATGAACTAAGTGAATGACCAGGGAGCGGCCAGCTTTCGAATCGGTCCCCAGAGCAAGTCACAAGTCCGGTGGATCTCTCGAGAGGAATACTGTGGTTGCTCTCTGGACGAGTCCCGAAAAGGACGGAAAAAAATCAAGTCAAGCGTAAGAGCCTTTGAACCACGCTGGTGCGCATTTACCGAGATCCTGATCCCCGGATCGGGATGAGAAGGATTTTCCCGAGGGCTGGACCGATCCAACGTGAAGAGAAAGAAAACGCCCGAGCTTTCCTACTATCACCAAGGCGAGTTGAGCAAGTTGTGGGGAGGCTAAGCACAAGGCTTCCGCTGCCTCCGTTTCTTCGATTTTTGCGATCCTAGTCCGCCTCTGATCGCCCGCGCTTCTCTCCGCTTCTCTCCGGCTCTCACACACCCTTGCCAGAGGGTAGTGAAGGGCAACTTCAGATTGGCGACCCTTCGTCGTCGCTTCTTTCAATGGCGGAAGAAAGAGCCGGCCACCAAATCCCTGGCCGGTGATTCGAGGAAGGGACGAAGAGGCTTGATGGAAAAGGGCACCCATGTATTGTGTATGCGATCCGTTGAATCGCCGAGGATTGAGCGTCCTTGAGGCAAGGAGTCGCCAACCGATCAATTTACGTGGTTGTGACGGCATACCAGGCATCTTGATTATCGAGCCACAGTTGCCGCTTCTACTTCCGATATTGGGGGTCGGTGGTAATCTTCGGCTCCTCTATGTCTCTCGAGGATGCTCGAAAGTTGTTGTTTCATTCCGTGATATCTTTTTTTTGGTGTTTGGGTTTTCTTTGTTTCCATCTCTCTCAGTGAACGATGGGTTTTTCGCCTCGGTTGGGTTTGGTTCGATTCGGGTTCGTCTTGTCGTTGTTCTTCTGAGTCGCTGCGTCTCCAGTTCCTGTTGTATTTTGTGTGCCGGGTTGATTCAAGTACTGACCGCGTTCGGTTGAAAGGAAGGTGATGATAAGGAGGTCTACCTTCCTCTGTTCTCCCATCATCCTTTCTTTTACCCCCCCCTCTTTCCCCATCTTCGCATCCTCTCTCCATCCTCTCTCGGGTCTGCAACAGTTTGGCTCCAGTCGTGATTCCCA